TCTCCCTCATCTCTCTCCCATCTCTCTCTCCACATGTACTATTCATAGAATGTTACAAATGTTGCTACTAGTCCTCAAAGTGATATTCTTAATAATTTCTGTTTACACATTATTAGAAGTCATTACATTCTTCCCAGCTCCTATAGACACTAATACTTCCCCACCACACAATACAGCATAATACACTCACCCTATCTAATATAAGGACTGTATAGTCGGGCTGTACTACTGCTATTGAGGATGTTTATATTGTGTTGTGTGGCATGTTTTGAATTAGCTATTGCATCATAATGTTAGCCATATATGGTATTATTTTGCACTACGTTTACTATTTAATCGTAAGAGCTAATTGGAGGGACTCACTCGTTTTTGTATTGGGGGGAGCATTTTCAGTATAGTACAGGGTATTTTGTCAAAAATGGCTAGAAGAGAATTCTGCATTTTTATAATTTTTCCTGATGCATGTACATGTTCTTATGTTGCGTAGCAAGTTTGAGCTGATTCCAATCAAAATTGGATTTTTTATGAATTTTTAAGCTACTCAAAAATCGGGCCAAAGTCCCTGTACTATAGTACATGGTCTCGGGCCAAACTTTGCCAAAATTGAAGAGTAGAGAATTCTTCATTTTTATAATTTTTCCTGATACATATGTACTTAGGTTGCGTAGCAAGTTTGAGTGGGTTCCGGTCAAAATTGGATTTTTTTACAAATTTTTAAAATTTCTTAAAAACCGGGCCGAAGTCCCTGTACTATAGTACATGGTCTCGGGGCCAAACTTTGCCACAATTGAAAAGAAGAAATCTTTCTATCTTTATTACATTTCCTGATACATGTACATGTACATGTACTTATGCTGCATGTATGTACAAGTATAGGAAGTTTATGCTGTTTCTGACAAACATTGATTAGAATTTCTGAGTCTTGGTCATACTCTAATTAATGCCCAGCACTCAATTATTTTGCTTGTGTACTGTAACAAGCAATTGAGTTCTACATTGTACATGTACATGTACACAATTTATATTAATTATACAGTACATTTACATTATTTATTTATTTATTTATTTCATTTATTTATTATTAGGTGGATCCAGATGGCAGACCAACATTTGATGAAATTGTTCAAATGCTTGATCCGCTTGTCTCCGCCTACCAATCCAACTCAACTCCGCCCCCAGCCCCTCCCATTGCCCCTCTATCTAACCCATCCTCCCCATCAAAAGTCGAACTCCCGGCCGAACTATGCCCCTCCCCTCAGTCTCCGTCCTCTTCTCTTCTCTCGTCCCTCCTCGGAGGAAGCGTCGAACGAGATGGTATAATTAGAGAACGAAAAATTTCCACCGTTAGTCTTGATAGTGGGTGTGGGCCAGAGCGTGTAGACCCAAGCTCTTATTGGAAAAATATCGGGTTTTATAAGACCCCGTCTCTCACGGATGGAAAGACCACACCCTTAACACCTTCCTCCACTCATTTTCGTCAGATATCGGACTCGTCCGAAGTCTCGTTTCAGCTACCCTCTCCCTCTTTTGCTTGGGCCCCACCCCCTTCTCCATCCACCTCTCTTTATCGGCTTTCATTAACGTCACCCATCGACACGCCTTCTCATCAAGTGGGTGCGTCAAGAGAAGGATCTTTATCATCTCCGGAACATAGCCCCATAACTGGAGAGGATTCTGACCACACTCCTTCTCCTGATCCTATTAGTGGTAACCAGTTTGATTTAGAAGACTGGAATATAATTAGAGCGACGTGTACGAACATGAGCCTAGTTGAAGAGGAAGAGGAGGAGGGAGGTGGCGGAGGGATTTTAACCGATCGAGACGGAAGAGAAAGGATTGAGAGGCGCCCATTGTTTAATAGGACGTCTTGTTCAACACCAAACCTTCAAACTTGTTGATGTAAAGTATCTTTCTCTTCTACTTCTCTTTTTAAAACTCTTTCTGTTTTCGTCAATGTCCTTGCAAGTCAATGTTTCTCCAACCCTCACTCTCTCTTTCTCCCTCTCTCTTTCTCTCTTTCTCCCTCTCTCTCTCCCCACTGTTATAGCATTCATTCCATTAAAATCATCATCATAAGTATTGCTCATCTTTTTATTCAGAAATGACATATTACATGTATGTACATCCATCTACCCTAACTCTATACCCCTCCTTTTCTCTATCAGTATAATGTCCTGTGTAAATATATACCTATTATTGGATCTTCTTGATCTCTCTTTCTCTCTCTCTCTCGTCATATTTCGTTATTTTCAGAATAAACAATAATTAATATTTATTATAAAGTCAATAATGATTATAATAATGTTACAGAGCAAAAATTATCTGCAGCAATAATGCTTGCAAAACCAGGCCTAAATTTGATTGCAAAATTAATTTTTATTGTTCCTTATAACAATAAAACCTATCAAATTAATTTACTTAATACAAAAATGAAAAAAAATGAAATTGTCTTTTAAACGTTTGACACTTTTAAGTCTTCAGCTTCCGGTGTACGTGTGATATCATCAAGCTCAATACTGCCGGACTCACCACGCATACTTATAAGAGGTAGGACCTTAATAGCGCCTGGTTTACGCTGTGAGGGTGGAGTATCAAGACTAATGGGTTCCGAGCTCTTTCTCTCATCCTCTGGAGTAAGGCGTCTTCTCTTCCCATTCAAGCCGTTCAGACCACTTTCAATTTGAGAGGGTGAGTTAGGAAGCAATGATGCTTGCTCTTCGTCCTCATCTTTAGGTAAGTAATTATCGGCATCATCAGGTAACTGGAGGAAGAAAGGAGAGTTGTATATGCAAGTATACATGAACTGTAAAAACTAACATGTTCCTAATTCTAAGATTATCAGGAAAATGGTTTATTAATACTAAATTAAGTACCTACTGGAGTCATGTGAGCATGAATGTTAGCAACTACTTTGATTAACAGTTTCCCCCAAATTCAAATTATCACCTGTTAAATTTGACATTCAAAACATAGCTTCTCTTTCACCAATTCCACAATGTTGTATATGTTGTATAGAGTTGTATATGTTAGTATACATGAACTGTAAAAACTACACATGTTGCTAACTGCAGCATATTGGGAAATGGTTATAAAAATGCCTAAACTGAATACCCACTGAGGCTACATTTACACAGCAATGCAAAATGGATCGTTTTTAAAGTATCCACTTTGAACACTGTTTTCGTTTCCATAGAGTTCTATCAAGATTCTATCACGTTTTAATTCTTTTCTGTGTAAACAAAAGCATAAAACAGGCACAAAACTATACCAATAGCATCTTTTTCGTTGCTGTGTAAACATGGCCTGAGTCATGTATATGAGCTTAACACAAGATGCTACATGTATTAAGGTAGGTTGATTGGTCAGCGTACAGTCAATTTTTTTAATCAAAAGCGTGGGTGATTTGACCTTTTGACGCATGCTTTCCGCTAGAATAGAACCAGATTCTATTCCAGCGTCAACGTAACGTCAGGACTATATAGTGTAATATTGTAGACCAACCTTTAATGAGCATGAGCTAAAGAATGTGACTAACTAGACGAATGTAAAACATTAAGGGGCTCAGCCCCTTAGCCACGCTATATTTTAAAGGTTATATGGTATAGAGCTACATTATTGTACATGTACATGAGTAAATACAGTAGTTTGTAAGTTTGTAATGAAGTTATCATGCTTGGAAATACAAATTTTCTTTATCAGTTTATCACATTCTGCAGCAAAAAAGTTGTGTTGGAAGCCAGAGACAGTAACTGCAGTCATAGGTTATGTCAGTAGTTGTGGAGGCTTTACAAGCTCACAGTAGAGACTTCTCTTGCATTCTTGTTGACTCAAGTGAGTGACTTGTAACTTGTAAGGTCAAGAACATGAAGAATTGATAGCTGGCGCCATTTTATTTCACTGTGACCACGCCCATTTTCAAAGAAGATTAAGATTAGGTTATTAAAATAGGAAAATTTTTTATACGGATAAATAGGAGTGACGTACGTGTACAGACAGACAGACAGACAAACATACTCTACTCGAACTAGTGGGCTTCGCCCAACAAGGTTGTGATAAACTAAAGGTTGTGGAATTGATAAAGCTATGTTTTTGAATGCCAAATTTAACAGGTGGTAATTTGACTTTGGGAAAAACTATTTTAAAAAGAAGTTGCTAAAATTGATAACATGCAGTGGAATATAGTGGGTGGTAATTGTTTTACCTGCCAGTACAAGTCGTCATCAAACAATCCGTCATCTGCAACTTTCTGAAAGCATGGAATACAGCCAACAATCAAACCTTTTAAGAAAAGAAAAAATAATATTACAAGTACAGTGATATCTTATAAAATTTAGACCTCTTTTTCTTCAAAAATAATTTTAAATTTAAGCACATCATTCTCTTTGAACTTTTTTACAACCACAATTTACATGTATCTCTCTCTTATCCACCTGTTATGATCCCTCCAATTCCTGCAATGAATAAAGTGCTTGCTAACAGTGCCAGTTGGTATCCAGCCTGTTCACCTGCTGACCGGCCCTCTCCAGTCTCTATGCCAAGGAGTATCTCCTCTACTGTAAGATTAGAGGAAGGAGCACGAGCAGGAAACACCAAATATAAACTATAAAATAAATAAATAAATAATAATAATAATAATAATAACATGTATAGTTTCTTTGTTTTTTTCTTATAGGGCCTTCCCTCTCCTTTCTCTTTTTTGTTTTTCTCTAATATTAGTAATACTTTGTTCTTGCTTTCATATAAACAATAATAATAATTTGTAGCTTTTCGTTATTTTTTCATAATAATAATAATAATAATAATAGGGACACAACTTGCTGACAGGCTGGCAATCAAGTGGGATCTCCAGTATTCAACCACACTTCACTGGATTAGAGCTAGACTATCGTTCGCCCCCCCCCCCTTATTAGAGCTACCAACCTATGTTTAAGAGGATCCAGAGCCAAGTGGAGAGGTCTTCATACTGAAGATGGCTCTGGGATCAACCCACTACACTTTTATTGACTCCTATTGACTATTGACTTATTTTTAAAATAATAATATAATAATTCTTTTTCTACATCTAAGTGTATGTGCTTTTAATAATATTCAAATTAAAATAATAATAATAATAATAATAATAATAATAATAAGGACAAAATGGAGATCTGTTGATACCTGTGATGGAGCCCCTTTGGACCTTATAATGACTTAAATCCATAATTTAACTTCATCCTTATTAAATTATTATTGTTATTATTATTTTTAAAAATCTCTATCAACCTAATTATTTTTATTTCATTTTTCATCCTGCCCTAACTTTGTCCTAATTCTAACTTTCGTTAATAATAATAATAATAATAATAATAATAATAATAATAATAATAATAATAATAATAATAATAATAATAATAAACATGTTGATGAGTTGGGTACTCATGGTTTGCATTGCAAAAGGGTAATCGAAAGCATCATTGTCATGCTTCAGTTAATGATGTCCTGCATAGGGCATTTTCTGCTGCTTATGTCCCATTAAGTCTTGAACCTTCAGGTTTATCGAGATCTGATGGTAAGAGGCCTGATGGTGTCACTTTGATTCCTTGGTCTCATGGTAGGCCATTGGTCTGGGATGCTACTATTCCAGATTACTATTCCTGTTGTGACTTCTGGTCCTAAAGGCCTTTTCACACTAGCACAGTTTTCACATCACTTCGCATCAATCCACCTCTGGAGGTGAAGTGAGAGTGATGCCCATCAATTTGAAATCACTCTAGTGTAAACAAGATTAATGTACATCAATGCGCATTACTTTGGCCAGTGAAAAGTGATGGTGATGATGGTGATGGTTGAAAATGAAAATGATGGTTGATGGTGAAAAGGCCTTTATACTAATCTTATCATTATTTATTCTTGCCCTTTTGTTATTCTTTTCTTTTCTCCTTTTTTTTGTTGTTTCCCTCTTCTATCTCTAGTGTTTTGTCCCTTAGGCCACTTTTTAAATTGTAATTCATAATAATAATAATAAAAATTAGTAAAGGTTATACAATGAGGTGAGGTATAGGGCTGTAGGCATGAGACAGATACATTGCATTGATACAATGCATTACAATGCATTGCTTTTGCAGTAAACATTGCAAAAGCAATGCATTACAATGCATTACTTTTGCAGCAAACATTGCGAAAACAATGCATCCATTGTAAACATTGCATTCTAAAACATGCAGTAATTAGTAAATTCCTGCTTATTTAACCTCCCGGGCCACGTAATCAAAACTCCACCCCACCTCCAGGGAGACTTGTTGATAAGTGAGTTCTTTATAAACCTAAAACTAAGCAATCTGATTGGTACAGCTAGGCATGGTATAATTGTTAAATAACATGGTCTTGTTATTTTCTTGGTTAAATTGTTTTTTGTTTTTTTAAATAATAATAATAATCTTCTAGTTTTTAGCTGGGTCCTTCTTATCAAAGATGGGTGACTGTAAGAAAGCCTCTCTTGGAGAAAATGTAGATTGCTCAAGTTGCAATTGCCCTTGTGTCAGTGTTTTGGCTGGCTATTATTGGCTTGATCATAGCAGTTATAGTTGGGATTATCCTTCTTGCGTTAGGACTGACAGGCCATTTATGATCAAGGGAACAAAGATAATGGAAGTAAGGCAATACTATGCACTATAACAACATTCAAGGCTATAATACAATTCAATAATAATTTTGTTTTATTTTATTTTACATTTTTTGGTTTTGCTTTTCCTTTTATTTTGTTTTGTCCCTGGCTTTTGTTTCTATTTTTCTTTCCTTATGGGCTTTCCCTTTTCGTCTCTCTCTTTTGTCTCTTGCATTGTGTCTTTTTATAACAATAATAATAATAATAATAATAATAAGGTTAAAAAATTAATTAAATGAAATAAATTAATTAATTAAAAAATAAAGTCAGAAGTCTCCCTACCAAGTGACCCCAAAATGGAAACTATATTGCTTTTCTGTATTGCAACAAAGAGTTGCTGCATTAAAAAACTGAATGAGTGAGGGTCACCTGTGCGTCTCATGATCCTCGTACCGAGGTCCTTTAGAAATAATAATAATAATAATAATAATAATAATGGTTCCCAAGCTGCTATCTCCCAAGGTTCAGCCTTATTATATGCAGAGGAATGCAAAAAATATTGTTCATTTTGAGGACTGTAAGTGAGTGGCAGTTGGAGTTGAGGCAGTTGGGTGGTTGGAGTCGCAATGCCAAACTGCAAGCCTAACGATGCCCAATAGTCCTGATGGTAGACTCAGGACTATTGGGCATCATTTGGTTTCCAGTTGAGGCACTGCTCCAGGATTGATCACTCAGCACCTTTTCCAGAAGCTTTCTGTAGTGCTTTGGCGAGCTAATATACATATGTGGCTCTGTAGGTCTCCTCTCCCCTCCTGAGGTGGATGGGTCTATTTAACTTTTTGTTTTTTGTTTATTTTAATCCTTTTTCGTTTTTCTTTTAGGTTCTCCCTCTTCTCCTTTCTGTATATTTTCTCCTCTTTTTGTTGCCCTTTTCTTTCTCATTGATATTTTATAACAATAACAATTGCCTACTGTCATCTATACCAGAGGCTTTCGGTCACTCTATGGAGAGGAAATGCTGCTATGTGGGCCACTTGTATCCCCTCTTGCCTCCTTCTGTTGATGGGCTCATTTAACTGGTTACTGTGCATTAATAATAACATTAATGCATGTGTTAGTGTAGGCTTTTGTTTTTTTTGGTGCATAATAATAATAATAATAATAATAATAATAGATTTAAGTGATTAATAAAAAATTCTTTGAGGCATAAATTTTTCTATCTTAAATATATTTTTGTGTAAATTTACCTGCTGCCATAGTTGACCAGGTTAGTGCCAGCTGTGTTGGAAGCGACTCCGGCTGCAATGGCTGAAGCAACTGCTGAGAGAAGACCAGGTAGACCATGAAGATTGTGAACCCCACAAGTATCTTGAACGTAAAACCATTTATCCATTGTAGGCTGGAGAGAGAGAGAGGAGGGAATTAATTTTAAATAATTTATTAATAATAATAATTAATTAATTTTAAATAATTAATTTTATTAATAATAATAATTAATTATGCATTATTTAATAATTAAAATAGTTTGTAGAAATGATATATCTGACTGTTAAATATTTGTATCCAACGACTGATATAATGCCAGAAAGGAAGCCGATAAAAAGTCCCGCCCATGGGCCAATTAACATGTCAGCAACGGAACCAATAGCCACACCTCCAGCCAACGTAGCATTTTGAACATGAACCTAAGTAACGAAATTGATTAAATTACAGGAAAATCATATAAAATTATGTTGGAATCAGTTCAAACTATCTACATACATGTACATGTAGTATTGAAAAATTAAAGTGATTTTGGAACTATTTTTTTAACAAATTAAACCATGGGCTATATCTTTTCAAAAATTAAGTGGCTTGTTTTTAAAATGCTCATAACTCAGAAGTTATTTGTCAGAATCAACTCAAAATTTCTACACAGTATATGGACATCAATATGTATCAGAAAATGTAATAAAAATTGGGGGTGATTTCGGAGCTATTTTTTGGAAAAAAACTATGGGCTATAGCCTTGGGTATTTTTCAGAATTTTGACATTTTCTTAAAATGGCCGTAACTCAAAAAATATGTGTCGGAATGAGCTCAAACTTTCTACACAGCATAAGGACATCAATATGTATCAGAAAATGTAATAAAAATTGGGGGTGATTTCGGAGCCATTTTTGGGAAAAACCATGGGCTATAGCCTTGGGTATTTTTCAGAATTTTAGCATTTTCTTAAAATGGCCATAACTTAAAAAGTTGAAGTCGGAATCAGCTCAAACTTTCTACACAGTATAAGAACATCAATATGTATCAGAAAATGTAATGAAAATTGGGGGTCATTTTTTAGCCATTTTTTAGGAAAAACCATGGGCTATAGCCTTGGGTATTTTTCAGAATTTTGGCATTTTCTTAAAATGGCCATAACTTGAAAAATTGAAGTTGGAATCAGCTCAAGCTTGCTACACAGCATAAGGACATCAATATGTATCAGAAAATGTAATAAAAATTGGGGATCATTTTTTAACCATTTTTCGGAAAAAACCATGGGCCATAAGAACATCAATATGTATCAGAAAATGTAATAAAAGATTACATTGTTTACTAAAAAATTTTTGGGTTTGTCATGGCACATTCTTGCCCAGCCTTTAAATGCAATCAAAGTCCATATTGGAAAAACTAATCAAAAACAAAGCCACAACTTATGCGTAAATATTAGATTATAAATATTAAATATTTGCATAAAATAAAAGAGAGAGAGAGAGAGGTTACCATGTCCAGCTTTCTCTTCCCGTCCAATGCCATGCTGAATATAAATGTTGCAATGACACTCCCGGTCATTGAGAAGTACGTGTTGATGATAGCCCTGTACTGAGCATTACCAGAAGCCAAGGCACCATTGAAACTGGGCCAGAACAACCACAAAAACAAAGTACCTAAAATAATATACAGAGAAAAGAAATGGAGAGATGAAGAAAGACTCCTAATACAATGACTATAATATTCAACTACTACAACATAATTCAGTCAGTACACTATTGTAAATTCCAGTATACTTTAGTAAATCCCAGTATATCTTACCAATCATGGCAAACATATCGGAATGATAGGCACTTGAGTTTCTTGGATGATCGATTGCCTTCTTCCTTTGGAGGATCACAGAACATGCAAGACCAAAATACGCTCCAAAAGAGTGGATTATCATTGACCCACCCACATCAGCCGCTCTAAAGACATGATCATTGATGGCATTATTAGCGGAGTAGAAAATAACTTCAAAGATAGCGATACCAAACAGCTGGAAAGGGCTAGCCCTTCCTAGCATGGAGCCAAAAGTTATGAGGACAGCAGCTGCAGCAAAATCAGATAATACCAGACTATAAGAGAGAGAGAGAGAGAAAGAGGAGAGAGGGCGAAAGAAAGAGAAAGGGAGAGAGAGAGAGAAAGGAGAGAAGGCAAAAACAAGACATATAGTAAACACATGTTGTTGACCATAAGTCAAAATTCCAAACCATAAGCAAGTCGACTTACAAATACCAACAAGAGACAAACAACACACATAAGATACTCATAATAACGAATGTAACGCATACATGTAAATGTATGTTATATAACAAATACACATGCACATACATAAATATACATATACAATTTATAAAATGGTAAGAATTTGTTATTTAAGAGAACGGTCAGTTTAGTAAAGATCAGCAGCAATTAGACCTTCGTATATCAAAAGAAAAACAAAAGAGAGAGACAGAGACAAAAGTCAGAGAGGGGAAGAGAGAGATGGAGAGAGAGAGAGGGGGGGGGAGGGAGGGAGGGAGGGAGAGAGGAAGAGAGAGAGAGAGAGAGAGAGAGAGAGGAGAGGAAAAAGAAGTTACTTTTCTAGTCCAATGGTAATTCTATAGTGCTCGGTGTCAATGAATGAGAAGAGTCCTAATGTCACTGTGCTCCATTGGATTACGAAAGCCGCCAACAACATGTTGAAACCAACACTGCCATAACCATAGCGACGGAGAAATGTCATTAGGAAACCGAAACCGATGAATATCATGACATGAACATCTTGGAAAACTGGAGAGGGAGGAGGAAAGAGAGAAGAGAGAGGGGGAGAGAGAGGAGGGAGAAGACAATGAACAATAGCATTATGATAGCTATCAATCATGAAACTATTGTTTAGTGTAGATAATACTACTGTAGTAGAGTGTCACCTTCACTACTATACATTGGAATAGTACCAAACCTTACCAATCCTTTTAGAAACACCAACCAATAATAATAATAATAATAATGATGATGATGATGATGATGATGCCCATGATAATGATGTCTTAGTATTACAGTGATGCCATTAAAGCTACATACCACTTCATAACAGCCTTACCATAATTGGGATACTTCAATTAGCTAATTCTATTTCACTTTATGGTTTAGCATCATTAAAACCAAGTAATTAGTAATTCTAGTATCATGCTTCACTGCTGACAGTAATAGGAACAATGCATCAGTAGAACTGAAGGTCATGCAGCATTTAAAATCAACAAGAAGAGGCTGTATATATACACATCATTCCCACACTGCATTATTATTAAAACCAACTCTAATCTCTTGATGTCAATCAGTACTGATATTACAATGCTTTCAAGTTTCAATTCTTTCATGCATGAGTGCACAACAGTACTATACAAGCCCACTCCATTTAACTCACAAGGGTAAACTTTAGTAGCAGTCCTGGTTGATTCTAGTCTTAAAATATAATCCTGAGCAAGAGTTGGGTCGAAATGCCCGCTCCTGTTAGCTAGCTCCATAGCTACCTCGTATTCATGATCAGGAGATCCACCTTCATCATATTCCACTAGTAGACCAAATATAACAATGAGAATCAGCTCTACAAGGAGCATGATGCCTGGCAGTACTAGTTTTTCTAATTTTGTGAGTGCCATGTTTTCCGCTCCTTTCTTCTTTCTCCCTCGACCTCGTGCTTGGGACTTGGTTTTTATTACATGGATGCATGGTACTTTTAGTCAGGGTGTGGCAAAATAGATATAATTATTATAAGTTAATAAAAATATTAATGTAAATTAAAATTTTACATTTCAATGTAGTACATGTATCATGCTGTTAAAGCTCAGAAATTTTTCTAGTAGTACTTGGTGAATTATAATAACTGAAACGTCTCGAAACATTTTCCAAATCAAACTGCTTCACGCTTGCTTTCAGTGCTTGCTTCAACCAAGAGAAGGATGGTCTTTTGCTTGGTATAGGGTTCCAACAACTCCTCATAATCTTATATACACTCTTGGGACAATTGTCAGGCTGCAGCATCACGTTCAATGATAATATATACTCCTTTACTTCTTCATCCGTTGCAAGTTCAGGATAAGGATCTTGACCAAAAGAGAACGCTTCCCATAAAAAGATGCCGTACGCCCACACATCTGATTGGACTGAGTATGTGGAGTCTTTGAGGGTCTCGGGTGCTGTCCAGCGAAGAGGACCAAAGGATTTTTGTCCGTTACTCGTAGTCCATTCACAATACTGCATGCACTGTATGTCATGGCTGAAACCAAAGTTTGATATTTTAACAATTAGACCTTCTCCAATCTACACAGAGGGAAAAAGAAAGTAAAAAATGCCTCATGCAGTTTTTGGGTGGAGCTCTATCTTTCTCTCTTAAGCAAGGTGCAAACATAAGTGTGGAGAAGTGTGAACACAACTTGCAATTTTTTGTACTAGTTATAATTTTACTTTACAAAAATATCTAATATGTTCTACCTGACAATTTCTTGCAGTCAAATCTTTATGCAAAAATCCCTGTTCTTCTAGATACTCCATTCCTTCTGCAACCTGCACCACAATAGCTATCATTTCTTCAGTGCCCATTGAATGTTGAGTAGAACCTCCTGATCCAATGGTGCTGTCTAGATCAGCTTGGCTTGCATTATAGACGCTCTCAATATCCATTGAGAGCCACACTGATGCAGTAGAGAGCAGGAAATCCTTCAAATTACCAAATTCAAGCCACTCATATATCATATAGCGTGGAAACTCTATCGTAGATACAGCTAGCAGTGTTAATATATTTGGATGATTCCAACCAGATGTTAATTTCATTTCCTTTTCAAAGGACTCACACAGATAGGCCTCCGCTCCTTCTCGTAGGGTTTTTATCAGAACTGGTGTAGTGATGTCAGTTGTAAGGAGTTTTGCACATTCACCTCTGTAAGTCTTGCCAAAGCTGCTTTCTCCAAGTTCAGCTAGCATGCAGACTTTTGAATGAGGGAACTCCAGCACTTTTAATCTCTCGTTTGGAGTCATAGAGGAGAGTTTTTCAACTGAGAGATGCTGATTATTTTTTCCTTTTGTCGAAAAAGATATTATCTTGGTCCTTGATGCTTGCTTTGGAAGTAAAAGAGTTGCATTTAAGCTTGAAAGAGGCTGTTCAGGCTGTGGCTGCTGGGCTTGACTGGTCCCTGACTTGTTAGAGCCAAGTCTTGAAGACCTTCTCTTCAACTCATGCTCTTTCTCGCTACTTGAAGGAGCTACTTTAGAGCAACGGTACAGGAAGAAGATGCACAGTAATGACGAAACAAGAAGTACAACCAGCAGCACAAGTGATGCAGTTAAAGCAATGATTAGTACAGTGGGGTTGCTATCTTCTATTGTAGGAGGTTGAGATATTGTAGGTGTACTGGAACTGCTACATATTGACGGAGGAGGACAATCAGGACCACTACCAAAGTCACCAGAGCCAGAGAAAGTGGTCTCCATTACTGAGTGCTGTTTTTTTGTTGCTGCAGGCTCAGCCCCGCCCTTAAGCTCACACCCATATGCACAGTAGATGAATTTAATAACTTGAAAGTTAATTAATATCTATTCTAAATAGTTAACTAATATTTATATTGAATAGTTACTTAATTTACTATAATAGTTACTTAATATTTAATGCAATGATATTTTTTACAAAATACATAATTATATATATAATCGGGTACATTAAAATATTTATAATGAGAGAGAAAGTTTAAATGAGCAACGAATTACTCCAACAATAACACAATAATATACACACACATATATGCACATGTTTACACAAACAAAACATCTTGTTTACAACAACAACAACATTGATTATAATATTATGACTGTGACGGTTTATTATTATGATGATTGGACTCTATCTTTATCTATAAAGGTTACAAGGTAAGCTGTGCTCGTTCCCATCAGGATGATCCTAGCGACGTCAGTATGTGATTTATCCAATACATACTGGCCATTGACCGAGTATAAGTACTCACCAACCTGGAGAGAGAGAGGGAGGGAGAGAGAGAGAGAGGGAGAGAGAGAGAGAGAGAGAGAGAGAGAGAGAAAGAGAGAAAGGGAGAGAGAGAGAGAGGAGACAAAAATATAATAGCTAGTCCTAGTCAATAGATTTATATTCTAAATAGCATGCTTCATGAGCACAAGCAGGTTATATTGCATTTGTAGCAACTTCATAAAATATACAGTTTTGATCAGAATGAGCTCAAACTTTCTAGTTTCTACACATAAGAACATGCATATGTATTAGGAAAAATTATAAAAATGGAGAATTCTCTCCTTTTCAATTTTGGCAAAATTTGGCCTGTGACCCTGTACTATAATAGTACAGGGACTTTGGCCTGATTTTTGAGTAACTCAAACCTGTATGAGCACTATGCTGAAATCCTGTAAAAAACCCAGCGTATAATCACAATGTGATATTCTCTATTTTCTTGATTCAGTGGCTTATTTCTTGCCTGCCCTTTGCCCTCCCTCCCTCTTTAAAAACTCCGTCACCCTCTCTCTCCCTCTCTTTATTCTCTCCTAACCTGTAGTCCTATACTGGCAGCTGGTCCACTAGGATCAACTGTGTGTACATAAACTGGTCTTGAGCCTCTGATTACAAAACCATATCCCACGGGATCGCTCACAATCTGAAATAAAAATAAAAAATAAAATATATAAATAATAATAACTATTGACTTATAACTTTTGTAAACTATTGACTTATAACTTTTGTAAACTATTGACTTATAACTTTTGTAAACTATTGACTTATTTTTTAACATAACATTTCTTTTTTCTACTTCTAAGTTTATAATAATAATAATTATAATTATTAAAAACTTTTAAAAATAATTAAAAATAAATAAAAATGAAAAAATATATATAATATGATATTTTAAGTCTCTATACAACTCCAGGTGCACATGACTAAATGATTACATTAAGTCGACTATAAATAGTAATATACTTCTCATCCTCTTCCTGTCAAGCAGGTGGGTGGTTATTTCATGCAAATACTATTTTTGGCATTGCACTACAGTACACATTGTGTAGCTATATTTAATTAATAACAGTAATAATATAATAATAGTGACCAAACTTGTAAGCTTGTGGGTGGCCATTACACTACCTGGGATTACCTCTAATTTTATTTATTCTTAAGTCATCGAAGAGTGTATTATTAAAAACAGTTATAATAATAATAATAACAATAATAATAATAATAATTTTTAGGGTAGGCTTTTCTTTTTCTGTTGGATGCTTATAACAACAACAACAATAATAATAATTATAATAATAATATAATAATAATAATCATAATAAGTTGCTTTGAAGTTATACTCACATCAACACTTCTCTTGATGAATCTTCCATTAGGGTCCGTTAGCTCTTCAATGGTTATGTCAGAGTAAGATTGCTGCTGTCCGACTGTACAAAAACAAATCGTAAAAAATAAACAATAACAACATAAGAACGAAATTAAAAATCAAGACGGACAAACACATCAAAGTGAAACTGCTTTCGTTTGTACGTTCAAAAGCTCCCAACCTCACTATACTCTATATAAAGCCCGTACGTGCAAGCTATATTGTAGTAGTTTTACTACTCTATTTAAAGCCCAGACTATATTCTATTTAAAGCCCAGCTCTTACATGTTGGTGGGTCAGCCGGTGAGATGTAGGTAGGCTCGGAAGGTGCTTGCATTTGTAAGTACTCGGGATCAACGGCAGACTGCATAGCAATGTATCTAAGGAGAAACAAATACAACATATCACATACAACAATATTATACATGTACATGTACATGTATATACGTAATTACATGTAGTTCTAATTAGTGTATTAATTATATAGGGGCTTACTCATCATCGTTCTCCTGAGGGGAGGTGCTACCACCTGACATGTACTGATCGCTGGCACTTGAAGACTCAAAGCTGATATCAGAGTTACGGTTTTCGGAACCTTGTTCGGACGAGATCATGGAACCTAGGCGCTTTCCTCGGCTCTTGGCGACGCCTACTCTCTTGCCAAAAGTCTTTTGGCTTTTCGGGTCGTCGTTCTTGAATCTGAAGAATAGGTACTCGTCTTTGAAATGATGATCATCGCAAACTAAAAAAAAAACAAAGATACACAGTAGTAGCAGTTAGGTATGTAGAGGCAATTAATGATCATAAAACAAAAACAAGTGTAACATTAAAGTATAATCAATTATCAATCGAATTATTATCAACTAATAATTAAATTTCTCTCAGTCACAAAGTCTACGAGATATAGAATGATGACAGCTGCAATATTCCCCTCCAAACACATAAAAACAATCAAAGAATCCCTTACTATAGTACATGTATATATTGCCATAATAAAACTATAAGCATACACATCAAACAAAATTATCAAATAAACAATATGAGATAAGAGAAGGGATATGTCACCATTTAATTATACATGACTTCCCTTGTGGTGGAAGTCAGGTATAATCATGCCTGCTTGACTGTCTGACTTTCTGTGTGTTTTATTTGTGTTGTAACAGCTAAGTTCAAGTATTTTGGACTTTAGACTTGTTATCATTTTACTGCTTCCTCTACAAACGTATGATCTATACCCCCTTCTCCCTTTTTGGCATTTCTTTCTTTAGTAATTATAGTGTACATGTACAATTATCCTCTCTCTTTCTCTCTCTCTTTCTCTCTCTCTCTCCCTCCCTCCCTCCTCCTCTTCTTACCGTGTCTGAATACTCCTGCATCAACAAACTGTCTTCCTAACTGTGTTCCCTCTTCTCTCGTGCTCACTTCTCCTCTTGTTATCAGCCAATCCACAAACTCTCGCCCGATGAAGCTCTGCTTGAATGTTTGGAGGTGATACTTTCTGTCTTGTATCAGGTTGCTACCATCTGTCTTTAATCTATTAAGAGAGAGAGGGGGGAAGAGAGGGGGAAGGAGAGATAGAGAGGGAGGGAGGGAGGGAGAGAGAGAGAGTGTGTGTGTGTGTGTGAGAGAGGGGGATAAACAATTGGCATCATCATGTTATCTTCAATAGTAAAGTAAACTTTGTGCTTTTGTTTGTTCTATTGCATTGTGCCATAGTACATATTTGTCCCATTGTATTCTTGAACTTATGTACATGTCACATACTCAGGCAAAGTGTATTCACTTATTGTGTACACAAACTTTAACTCTCTCTCTCTCTCTCTCTCTCTCTCTCTCTCTCTCTCTCTCTCTCTCCCTCAGTTTCCATTTCTTCCCCCTCTTCTTTACCTGCTGTATATTCTCTGGCCCTTAGCAACTATCATAGCATCTGGTGGCTCCTCATAAGTATTGTCATCTCTCCTGAAACGATAGAATAGCTTCTCATCTTTGAAATCATGATCATCACAGACTAGAGAATTAAGAAAGGAAGAGAGAGAGAGAGAGGGAGGGGGGGGAGAGTAATCACTGTATATAAATAATTATTACAACTATGTACATAGATAATTTGGTGCAACACTCCAAAATTTTCATTGTTTACGTTGTTGCACCACAGCTACTCATTAAATCATCTACAGCAAACTCCTGCCAAAACCTTGATGGGGCAACAAGCCAATATGTCACACTCTAGATACTTTAAACATCAACAAGGTAGCAGGCTTGAGTGCATGCCCTTCCTTATTTATAGGTTTACAAGCTAATATTGAGTTATGATTTTAATTGATTGGTAAAACATTTGGTTTGTATTCAGGAGGTATGGGTTCTATTTGATGCTTGAAGACATATATGTACTATCAGAAGTCATGTCTCTCTCTGTGTGAAATTATTATCACCATCACAAAAAGGTGCATTAGATCAGAGTCTTACTATAATCAGTGTACAAACCAACTGTAATCAACATAATATAAACTATCAAACTGCAATAAAGTATAATTTTAAAAGAAATAAAATAAACACATGGCTGTCTCTATCTCACTCTCGTTCGCTCGCTCTTTCCTTCTTTATCACAGGAAATTTGTCTCTAGCATTTTAACACCTTCGAAAATTTTTAACAAGTTGCTTTACTTAGAATTATAATAATTCAGTAAAATATGCTTGCATGAAATTGTTTTTCTTTCTTTCTCTCCTCTCTCTCTCTCTTACCATGATGAATGACTTCATTCTCTAGCAGTTTCTGCATCATGGCAACAGCTTCTGATCTGCTCTCCACTTCACCTTTCTTCAAGAGCCAATCGACCATTTCATGACCAATGAAACAGGTAGCATAAGTCTTTAGGTGGTATCTCCTGTCCTTCAAGACTGGAGGATCATCTTCTGCGTGCAGTAGCTGGCGTAGCTCCTCTCCTACTGCAAGGATGGCGGAACGGTTGGATGCTCTTATCGTATTAGCCATTCGGCGGGGCTGGGCACTGTATACTCTCCTCGTGTAAATGGAAGAAAATGAATTGGATCTCGTGAGGCTATCAGACTGATACTCCCTCCTTTGCCTTTGTGGAGAATATAAGAAATAGTCGAAGCTCTGTGTGCTGTAGGGCCTATCGCTCGTCGGTACTGGTGGAAGTGGTGGCTGCAAACTGTATCTGTCGTTCAGGGCAGCTCTGTATGTAGCTGGTAAGTCGCTCCGTATACCTCCGGCATATCCGGACATGGTGTCTCCGTTTGCCTGTGATAAAAAGTGATGCATAGTAAATATCCGGGGTTAGGAGACAGGATGTACCCATTTTGTGGGTTTTTGTGTTAAAAAGGGACATAACCTTACACACCGATCATGGTGTCTTTGCGATATGATCTTTATACGTGTTAAAGATTTTATCTCTTTTTTGGGGATCAAAGGATTTTAACACATTTACATGTTACATAACTGACAGCCTAAAATTAGGAGCACAAAGTGAAAGGTTTCTTGTTTTAAAATATTGTCACTAAAAGTCTTGGTTAAAGGTTATTAAGGTTTAAAGGTTGTTGTTTTTCATTTCTCAGTAATTATTGCTAAAATGTACGTCAGAATCATATTCCTGAGGGAATTGTAATTGAAAACATTTTAAATTAATAACTAGTATTAACTACACTATGATTATATGGATGGGCGTGTCTCATTATTATTCATTATACCATGCATTAATTAAATTATTGATAAGCTTCAGCTATATTTGGCACTATAACCAATAATGTACTATGATAACAATAGATTATGATACGGACACGATAGTCATGTGACTGTCACATGACTTAATTGGTATTCATACATTGCCTCATGTAATAATAACAATATACATGGATCATTAAAGGATCATTAAAGGATCCTCCGTCAGGAATGTTAGTGAACAGCTGCTAGGATGATTGTTAGAAAACTAAACTGGCATATATGCAGATTAATTTAAAGATAAAAGATAACCAAGTCATGTATAGCCAGTTTGTTGACTTAGTTTACTGCTCTTTAGAACCAGCTGCTAATTTTTAAAACACCCATTGTAACTGTATCATGGTAGACATCCATTGTTTAGATCATGGCAATCCAAGGAATTGGTATTATTAGTATTTTTTGTAACAGCAGCTGAGCTTCAAATGACAAATTTACATCTTATATATTGGACTATCTTTCTTGAATTACAAGTAATGACAAAAAGAAAGAGAGTACAGCTACTACTGTACTAGAGTGAAAAGAGGGTGTCTATAGTGGAATATAGATTGCTGTAATAATTGTTACTAGCTTAAAGCAGCTGCTACATGTTTGCATTTAAAACTTTAGTATCAACTTATACATTATTTGTATGTCTACTACAGCATTCAATGGCCATACAGTAACACAGTAATTCTTATAATGCCAGTACATCTACATCTACATCTACATCTACATGTAGGTAGCTTACCTTAATTGGGGAGATAGAGGTAGCTAGGTTAGGAAATAAATCAACAGAATTAGCAGTCTAGAGAAAGAGAGATGAAGCTTAGTTGTTCTTCTTCCTGCCAACTTAGAGCTGTGACTGCAGCTGACTGCCCAGCTCTGCCCTACTCATATATGTTAAAAGGCTTCACGCTCCAATACTCGTATACACAAACTAATACCCTCACTCTATGTCATTGAATAATACTAAGACTATGTATCTAGTGCCGCATTTATATGGCTGTAATATACAGGGCATGGCACATGCTAGTTGTATCCTTAATTAGATTAGGACAATCATCACTATACTATATAGTAGTGTTTGCAATAATAGTAATAATAGTATAACAATTACGTTGTACGAATTTGTAAAGCATTTGCGTACATGTTATATAATAAGCAGCTGTTTCTATTTTTATTTTTGTGCCGTTTTTTGTTATTTCTATGCATGTGCTACACTTTCATGCTCTTTATTGCAGTATTGGGTTTGTATGTAATACTGAGAGTGTGTTGTTGTGTATTGTAGTACTGTATAGTATGTACTTGTAGGATTTTGTTGTCATTAGTTCAAGGAAATTAATATCACTGTATTCAAATATTTATGTACTATGATAGTACCCAGTACGTCATTATTATTATTATTATTATTATTATTATTATTATTATTACTATTATTATTATTATTATTATTATTACTATAATTTGTTAATTTATTGTTTTTTAAGATTTAAAAGAAATTATTTGAAAGCTGATCAACAAGTGAACAAGTTGTTAACCAGCTGTAAACAGGATTCGAAACTAAGGAGGAGAGAGAAAGAGGGTAAGATCTATTGCTGTGATTGTTCACAGCTACTGTAATTTACCCTATAAATATATATGATTATATATATTTTAAATTTGATTAACTCTCCTCTCTCTCTCTCTCTCAATGCAGATATTACAAAAATGGATTCGACTTCTATGCCTCTTCCTCCTAATCTATCAATTGAGCGTACTGTTGATGATGTAATAAGTACTGCCGGTACTGCTGGTATCCAGTTAGACCCCTCCTCATCTCGTCCTGTCCAGCTGATACATTTTGGTGATGGTGTTTCAGATAGTGAGTTACAGCTGATTGAAATGCCTAACGACTTATTGGAAGAAATGAAAACCGGAAAGAGGTAAGAGTAAGCTAGTCTATTACTATGAATATATGGACATTGGGTTTAGTTTCACTATTATATAGAATTATGATTCATTGATGTTATTACATGTATGTGTGCAAGATTGTAGTAGGTTTGTGAGTTTTACTCTCTTTGTGTGTGGGCGTATCAAAGCCCCCACCTTTTATAAACACTACCCCTTATCTGGCATCATTAGTGTAATATAAAATACAATATAACGCAAGTGTAATACTAACCAATATAATATAGTGTATTTTACTAAGCAAGTACAGTGATTAAGTAGTATATTTGTCCTCATCAGTCACCTTCGATAGAACTAGATTAAAGTGCCATATATCACGTTGTATTAATTGTGTTACATGGTTTTGCTTCCTGGAGTTCATGGTGATTTCAGCCTTAGGATGTACAGATAATTGATCACGGTTAATATTAGCAATTCAATTATTGTCGATCGACTGACCACAGCTATGCTTTAATCAGCATGAAATATTATTAAAGAATTATCACCCAGGCCTGCCTGACTAATTTCGCTACATTCAGCAGTATATGCGTTATTAACTTTTCCACATGAGGGGATTGAGTGCTGCATGATGTAGCTAATAAAGTTGACCTCTTTATTTCGGACACCACTGACCTTTTCTTATTACAGAGGTGACCTTATTATAAAAATATTTTTGTATAACCTTGTACCTTTAAAATGTCCTCATTATAAAGGTGTCCTCATGATAAAGGTGTCCTTAATACAGAGGTGTCCTCATTTCAGAGGTACTTTTGTATAGGCTTGTACCAATTGGGACATTACAATATATCTAAAGGCAAAATTTCTTATCTCAAGTTGTCCTCATTATAAAATGTCTTTAGCTTCCACTGTATAGTATTAATGTTAGCATTACATCTTAAAGTTTAGTGCACAAATTATCTCAGTAGGGGAGTAGCTTTCATTTGAAGTCTCTAATTGATTTTCATCTTTTTTGGACATGAGAGTGTAGTATACTTATCTCAAAAATGCTGTGCAATATCCGCTGTGACTTCTACTCTCTCCTCTTCCCTCTAATTAGGCTCTGTTTACTAGTACGTCTAATCCTGGAATAGCAACTGATGACACGTACATGTACACATGATAACCGCATATAACAGTTGGGATATTGTTTAATCAAGTACAGTATTAATACTATAGGCCTTTCTACACTTGAACCAGAAGTCGGGCGCATTGAATGGGCATCAATTGATTCCACACCATCATCAGGATCATGTATATTTTGATAGCATTTCTGATCCAGCTGCCATTGGTTATCTATTGAATGCGCATTCAAACCACATATGGAAGTGGTTTGGCTTAATGTGTATTGAAGTCAATGCACATCAGGTGTGGAATGACTGGAACCGGTTCCAAACCAGTTCAATGCACATTAGAAGTGCTAGTGTAGAATGGCCTTAAGACTATTACTATCATTATTATTATTATTGATGTTTTTTTTTGCGTTAAATAATTTTAACACAACAAAGTTGCTAAGTATATAACTATCAGTAGTCATTACTACAAAGAGATAGTCTTTCTATGGTTCATCTAATGATGGGTATATTGTGTATGTATTGTGAAGCCATTCTATCAAAGGCCGCTCCATAAACAGATCCCATATTTACACTATCATGACTTGCTTATTCATCATCATCAGTCATGACTTGTTATTCCACCATCAAAGCATAATACGTGTATGTACATGTACATGTATGTATGTATGTATATATGTACTTACAAGATATGTGTGTGTGTGTGTGTGAGAAGCTGTCCCTACTTCTCACTGTTTATCTCATGTTTGTGTGCAGTAGGTATCACGTTTGTAGTTGATAATAGCTTACGTTATAGTCTGGTTGACTGTTTGAACTTGCTCCTTCTTCCTCTCTCTCTCTTTCTTGTGCTTAGTCTTTAGTTAATGGAGCATTGAGATTAACTGTGAACTGTTAGTTTGATGTAATTATAATATGCATTTTTTACTACATTTTCTGATGCATAGCATGTTCTTATGGTGTGTAGAAAGTTTGAGTTAATTTGAATCAAAATTAAAAATTTTTAACTTTTCTCAAAAATCAGGCCAAAGTCCCTTTAGTACAGGGTCATCAGCCCAATTTTGCCAAAAATGAAAAGTAGAGAATTCTCCATTTTTATTACATTTCCCAATGCATATACATGTTTTTATGTTGCGTAGAAAGTTTGAGCTGATTCCAATCAAAATTAGACTTTTTATGAATTTTAAAAGTTTCTCAAAAATCGGATCAAAGTCCCTATACTATAGTATAGTGGGTTGGCCAAATTTTGCCAAAAATGAAAAGTAGAGAATTCTCCATTTTTATTACATTTCCTGGTGCATATACATGTTCTTATGTTGCATAGAAAGTTTGAGCTGATTCCGATCAAAATTAGACTTTCTATGAATTTTTAAAGTTTCTCAAAAATCAGGTCAAAGTCCCTGTACTATAGTACAGGGGGTTTGGCCAAATTTTGCCAAAAATGTTAAGGAGAGATTTCTCCATTTTTATTACATTTTCTGATGCATATACATGTACTTATGTTGTGTAGGAAGTTTGAGCTGATTCCAATCAAAATTGAATTTTTTGCAAATTTTTCAAGTTTCTCAAAAATCAGGTCAAAGTCCAAATGAGCAGATCTATAGTCTTGCACATATTTTGTTGATGTGTTTCTAGCGTGTACTGATCATTCTTCCTGTTACACTGATTCTATTAGTAGCTATTGTTTGCATTCCTCACTGCATCATAAATCACAAACTAATGTTATAAATTATCATCGTCATCACTGGAATGTAAACTGGAATGGAATGTGACAAATACATCCTGTTACTAGCATATTGTACTATTAATAAAATTCCGTTACTATTATTAGATTTTAAGCTATTACTCATGATTATTTTTAACGCTAATTACCTAGGCCATTAAGCAATATTA